TTCCCCAGATTTCACGGCGCCCCTTCTTCTTTCCTTACGTCCCTGCCCCCCCCGCTGGGCCGCGCACATGCCGCCGGTCATGATTTGCACCCCCCCTCTTGGACACCCCCTTCTTGGCCGCTCCTGGCATCGCTCGGACGTGTGCATGTTTTTCTCGGCGAGGACCATCGAGGACCATCCTGGACCATCGCGGAAAAATGACACGCGCGAAACCGAAAAAATGCACAGAACATGGACGTCCGAGCGACGGCGAGTGCTCGCCTCCAGGGTGCCCTGGGTGTCTCGGGCTTCGATGGGTTTGCGGTGGAGGGCGCGACGCTCCCGCACCAAGAAGCAGTGGACGTCCTGGGGTCTCGGGGTTGGGTTTCTTGTGGGAGGTTTCTCGTGGTCGGTCCCCTACTGTAGGATCCGGGCGTCCCAGATCGGCTCGGAGTAGATGGGGACGGAGTGGCGCCGCATCGCCGATGCATCGGCGAGGCGGCTCGATGTGGAGCCCAAGATGCGCCGCGCCGACGTCGCCGACGCATCGCCGACGTCGGCGGTGCATCTTCGATGCATCGTTGATGTATCAGTGATGCATCGGCGATGCGGCGCGATCTTCCGACCCCATCTACTCGGACCCCATCTAGGAGGCCTTTATGGGACGTGGATCAATCCGTTCCAGAGCCTGCCGGAACCCTCGCAGAGCGTTCTGGAACGCTCTGCCCTGTCAGAGCGTTCCAGAACGCTCTGAGAAGGCCGCGGCGCCCGAGACGTCCCTCAGAATCGCCAGATCTCCGAGATCCTCGATCTATCCTGACTCGTTGTTGCCTTCGTCCTGGCGCCGTCCTCCTGGAGTCCGCGCCGCCTGCCCCCGGCAGCCCCCCGTTTGGACCTCCACGGAGGGCGGCCGCGGCGTTTTTGTTTTGCGCGTGTCGTGCCGCCGCGGCGGCGAGGGCCTCTGCACAGGCGCTCAGGCTCGGGCCCCTGCGCGGCCACTCGGTTCAGGCGAAAGGTCCCAGGCCGGGTGAGCTGCCGTGCCCCTTCGGGGCTCCAGAGGCGGGGGTCCATGCAAACGGGGGTCAGCCAGAGCGCCGGATCCTGCAGGAGCCTGCAGAGTTCGGGGTGCACGGACCCAGTTCCGGGTGCAGAATCTTGCAGGACCTTGCAGGAGCCTCACTGACCCAGGTTGCGATTGACCCGGGCCAGGACATCCCCGAGCCTTGACCCGCGGTCTCTTCGGGATTTCCATTTCCCAGAGAGGCCCCGCGATGGCTTCCCGAGCACTTCCCACGAGGCCCAGAGAGCCCAAGGGGGCTTCGAGACGGAGCGGAAGGCTGTGGAGACTCCTCGTTCCAGGCGCACCTCGTGCAGCGCTCGAGGCGGGGAAAATGCGGAGAGCCAGGGCTGCACGATCCACGCACTGTCAGTGGCCAGCGCCGAAGTCGTCGCGGCACGGGCCTGCCGTGTACACCTCCGCCAGATGGCGGCTGCGCAGACGGCGGCGCTTCAGCCATCCCCGGCAGGCGCAGAACATGGACCTCGGGGAGGCTGACGGCTCCAAGTGCTGTCTGGAGGGCCCGAATTCCAAGGTGCACTCCAGGAGCCGCGCCGTCAACAGGCGCCGCCGTTCTCCGACCCGCAGGGTGCGATGCCGACGGCGACACCGGCGACGCCCATCTCGTGAGCATGTGATCCGACGAGCTGATCTGATTATCCCTCTCCCTTGGGTTGACTGCTTTCCATACGTGATGCTTATACGTATATATGTGTATATGTGTGTATATATATATATATGTGTGTCCGTCTATACATGTGTACACATGTATAGGTTCATTACGAATGTCCTTGGGCCCATCCCGCCACATGGCCTGGGTTGTAGATCACAGTTCTCCAGAAATCTGTTTGGGGTCTCGTCGGAGCGCTCTCGAGGGCCTCTTGGCTGCAGTTTTGGGGCCTCTTTTGGCCCTCTTGGGGGGGGCATCTTGGGGGCCTCTTGGGGCCCTCTTGGGGCCTCCTGGGGGCCCCTCGAGTCCGAGGGCTCGAAATGTCCGTTCGAGTCCCCCATGTGTCCCCTCTTGGAGCCGTCTTTGGGTCCTCGTTGGCCGTCTTGGGCGCCCCTTTGGCAGACTTTGGGGCATTCTTGTGACGTTTTCGAGTCCTCTTCGAGGCATCTTGGGCCGTCTTGGGGCGATCTTGGGGGCCTCCAGGGCCGTCTGGGAGCGTCGGGAAAGCGGAAAGGCGAGAACGCCCAAAACATGCGCAAACCCAAGTAGAAATCAATGATTTCCGTGTTTGGGGGCTCTCTTGGAAGGCCGCTTGGAGGCCTCTTGGGGCGTCTTGGAGGCCTCTTGGGCCGTTTGGGGGCCATCCTGGGCGTCCTGGGGCGATCCTTCGGTGACTCGGCGCCCTCGTCGGCCATCTTGTAGGCATCCTGGGGCCCTCTGGGCCTGCCTTGGCTCTTTCTTGAGGGGCCCGGAAAAGTCACGGGGGGGGACGATTCAATTCCCAGAGGGGTATGCGCCGGAGCCCAGGGGACCCGCGACAAGCCCACGAAGATTTGGCAATTTGGGCTCTGGGCCCCTGAAGAACCTTCAGGCTCAGGGGACGAGGCAGAGGACCGAGGACAAGGCCACTCCGTGCCCAGGGGCATGGTGGCGGATAGATGTGTGTGTGTGTGCGTCAGCCAGCATGGACCCCAAACGATGTCGCTCTAGCAGTATATGTTGCCCAATCCTGGTGGAGCGATATAGGTTTAATCGTCTATGTGGTGCAGACGATGTTGTGCAACATAGGTTATGCAGCCTATGTGGCGCCGTATAGGTCGTGCCATACTTGTCGAGCACTACATGTGGTGCAACCTATCTGGTACACTATATGTGGTGCAGCGTATGTTGTGCAATCTATGTCGTGCAATATATGTGGTGCAATCTATGAGGTGCGAAATGTGTGAGGTGCAGTCGACGTGGTGCGACCAGGTGGTGCAAAACATGTGGTGCAAACTATGCTGCGCAACCGACGTGGCGCAGCCTATGTGATCTAGCATCTGTTGCGGAATCGAGGTCGTGCCGCTTGTGAGGAGCAGTCTCTGTGATGCAGTATACCTTGTGCAGTCTTCGTGGTGCACCCTGTGTTGTGAGCCTGTGTTTGTTGGTCAGTGATCATCGCCCTCATCCTCTTCGCTCTTCGTCCTTGCCCTCCAACCTGGTTGCCCCCCTTCTCGTCCCACTTGTTGCTTGCCACCCTGTCCAGGGGCCCCCCTCTTCGGCGCACCGGATCCTCCGACCCCGCCTCGGCGGTTCCCTGCCCTCACGGGGCCCGCTTCGTCCCGATCGAAGCGCCTCGATGTCGCTTCCAGCTGGCTCGATCCAATTCGTTTCCAGGGCCACCCTGACGATCGGGGCTTCGACGCCTTCCGTTGCCTGCAATGCACTGGGTGCGCCTGGTGGCGCGGCCCATGCGATGCCGTGGCGGTGCCGTGCCGGACCAACCTCGGACCGACGTGCACTCCGATGTGATGAGGTGACCCGTGTTGAAGTCGATTTGAGTTTGCTTCTCCCCTCCAAGCACCCATACTGGCCATCTCTGCCTGCTTGTGGCTGCTCTTTCCCGAGGCTCGCATTCCAATATGATGCACCTTGCACATGTTGATCACAGGGATGCAACTCTTGGGAGAACTGTTTTAACATCGGCGCTGGTATACCCGTGGTCGAAAATTGACTCACCCCGCCACGTCTTGATAAACCTTGGCCTTGGGCTTATCTTGGACTGATCCGGTCCAGTGGCATCTCAATCGGGCTTCATAGCCCGTAGTCGTTCTTACTAAACTTCCCCAGGCGTTGCCGCTTTTGTACGCCTCGCACATGTCGTATGTCCACCGTGCTTACTGCCACGTGCCCTCGCCGTGCCCCCCACGGCCAGGTCGCGCATACTCGACAAGCTGAAGAGCAACGGGAACGGCAATTACAGCAACGTGGACCCGGAGGCGATGGGGCGGCAGAGCTTCTCAGATCGCCCCAGCCCCCTCGATCTTCTATCCTCCCTCGCATCGAACCTCGAACTTCCTCCTCCTCTTCGATGCTCCTCGATCCTGCTCGATCCTCGATCCTCCTCCTCCTCCCGTCCCCGCCTCCGCTCCGTCCCCCCGCCGCCCAGCAGACGGGCGGCCGCTTGACAACTACGCGGGCGAACACGAGCGTGCGTCCCCACGCGCCCAGACTTGCCACGCACAGCGGGGGCCCGTGCCAAGAAGCACCCCGTCTGCCTCCGGGTTGCCTTGGGCGTCCTGGATGCCAAGGTTTTTGCTGTGGAGAGCTTGGCGATCCTCGATCCTCCACCTCCTCCTCCTCGTCCTCGTTCTGGTCCTCCTCCTCCGCCATCTCCCCTCCTCCTCCTCCTCCTCCTCCTCCTCCTCCCCTCCTCCCTCCTCCTCCTCCTCCTCCTCCTCCTCCTCCTCCTCCTCCTCCTCCTCCTCCTCCTCCTCCTCCCGTCCCTCGCCGCCGCCCTGTCCTCACGCTGCCCAGCAGCCGGGCGGCCGCAGGAGCAAGTCCGTGGGCGAGCGCGAGCGTGCGTCCCCACGCACCCAGACTTGCCACGCACAGCGGAGACCCGTGCCAGGAAACCCCCTTGTTTGCCTCCAGGGTGCCTCCTCCTCCTCTTCTTCCTCTTCTTCTTCCTCCTCCTCCTCCTCCTCCTCCTCCTTCCTCTCCTCCTCCTCCCACCCTCCTCCTCCTCCTCCTCCCTCCTCCCTCCTCCTCCTCCCTCCTCCCTCCTCCTCCTCCCTCCTGCCTCCTCCCTCCTAATCCTCCTCCTCCTCCTCCTCCTCTGGCAAGCCATGCCAAGAAAAACCCTGGTTGCCTCCAGGGTGCCTTGGGTTCCTTGGATTCTGATGTTTTTGCTGGCGACTCAATTTTTTCGAGCCGGGCATTTTCGCGTTTTTCAGGGCCCCGGGACCCTCACAGATCGATCCGGCTCGAACGATGACGCAGAAAGTTGGGGCTGGGGCTCCGGGCGCGGATTTTCACGATGCTGCAATTTTTTCGCTACGTGGGATCTCAGGGTTCCCCCGCCAAAAATCAATGGACGTCCTCGGGTCTCAGGGCTGGGTTTCTTGTGGAGGGTTTCTTATGGTCGAGCTCCTACTGCATTTAACAAAAACGGGACGGAGGGCCTTGGATGCAAGTGGGTGCTTTCGTCAGGACCCGGGACCGTCGAACTGCGGCTCGGGACGAACCCGGGGGAACGTGCTGCCATGCAAGAGCATGCACCTCCGTGTCAGTGGTGGCAGAAGTAGTACGACTCTGATATGATGTTTGCAAGCGCCACCCCGCTCGGTGCAGTGGACATTCTTCTGGGTAGGTCTGCGAGCGTCGGAGGTGTAGCACAGTAGGTGCACACTGTTTCTCGGGCGAGGGCCCGCAAACCTTCGAGTCTGTCTGTTCGGCCCCCCTGGAGGGCCCGCGAACCTTGGGGTATGTGTACATATATATATATATATAGATATAGATATCTGTTCGGCCCCCCTGATTTTCGCGAGGCCAGGCCCTGGGGGCCCGGGGAACGGGAGGGGTGGAGGATGGAGGAGGAGGAGCGGGGAGGGCGGCGCGGCGAGGGGGAGACGCGGCCCAGGCTCTCCCTCGCGCCATCCTAGAGAGCACCCCGAGAGACAGACCCAGCGCAGACAGCGGTGCCGAGGATACTGGGTGACGCTGGAGGAGGTGTGGTGGACGAGCAGGAGGAGGAGGAAGGAGGAGGAGGAGGAGGAGGAGGAGGGAGGAGGAGGAAGGAGGAGGAAGGAGGAGCAGGCGCAGCAGCAGGAGGGAGGGGCAGGAGAGGCGGGAGGAGCTCGGGGACCCGGGGAAGGCGGAGAAAGGATTCCGATTCAGGCAGCCGGCCCACGCTGGGGCGAGAGCGCCGTGTTGAACGACGGGAGCCGGGCACCGATACTCAAACGGGTCCAACGTTGCTGCGGGAACGGAATCCCATCCCTTTCGTTGAACCGAGACAAAGAAGCTCCGATGGGAAGGAGCCATGCGGAGATCCCGCGCTCTGAAATCCTGCGTGGTCTCTGTGTGCCTGGATGCGGGTTGAGGAGCTGGCCCGGACGGGCCAGATCTGGAGAGAGAGGAAGGAGAGTAGTGGTCATGTGGACTCATGGAGCAGGGGAACGAGGGGGAAAGAGGAAGGAGAGTGGTGGGCATGTGGACTCATGGATCAGAGGAGGAGGAAGAGGTACCCATACCTCTACCCCTCCCTCGCTTTCCCCCTCCTGGGCATTCCTCGTCGCCATCGCTGGACTCGCCTCGAAATCCTGGTCAGAACGCAGCCCGGGAGAGGTCCGGGGAGCAGCGGCATCGGTACCTCCTTTTGGTTTCCCCGGGGGAGCCAGGGGGGAGGATGCGGGAGGAGCGGGGGCACCACGGAGGACAGCCTGCGCATGCGCCCGCGGCTGGCCCCGAGAAGGACAGCATCGCAGGAGAGGAGGAGGCGGAGGAGCGGCGAGAGGCGGAGGAGGGGGTGGGCAACGGCGGAGGAGGGGGCAGAGAGTCGTTCGTGCGCGCGTCGCGCGTGCGCCCAGCCCCGCAGGAGGAGATCGGGGAGATGATCGTGAAGGTGAACAAGGTCCGGGGGGCGTGAAGCGTCCGCCTGCGCAGAGGCCGCGTGCGTGCCACGCGGGGTCGACAGCGGGCCTAAGCCGTCCTGACCCATTCCATCGGGAGGGCGAAAACCACACCTGCTACAGGTAGTGGTGCCTTCCATGCAGCGAGGGTTTGTTCTCTTCACGTGAGCTTCCCCGCTTGGATTTACACTTCGTTTCGCAGATGAGCGCGTCTTGCCGTGTCTCTTCCATCCAGAAGCTGCGTTGTCCATGCGAGCCGTCTTGTGTGGAGGTGGACATGTGCCTTCAACGTGAACGCGCCATTTGTTTCCCACGTGATCGTGTCTTTCTCTTTTATAGTAAATGTTGGTCGTAGCTGTTTGCTGGTGTGGTTTTTGATTGTGTGGCTTTCCCGCTCCTTGCTCGCTCGCAAGTTCGGGTTTCCGTCAGCTCAAATCCGGCTCAATGGCCCCTCAATCGGGTTCCATAGCCGTGGATCGACCCCACGCCAGCCTTCCAGGAGTTGCCTCCTCGGGTGGGCGGGTGGGTAGCCTTAAGTCGGGCACGCCCCTCTACAGGAGGAATATTCCCAAATAGGCACAACATATTATGGGGACGACTTTGTTGCTATTGGTTTTGACCATTTTGGTGTATTCTTGATATTTTTCGAATTTATTGTTTCGACCAAAATCCGCCTGCTGGGGGACATGCCCGACCCAAGGGCGACCCTCGTCCTCGCACAGGTGCTCAACGTGCTCATGCGAGCCGGCCACCGAGGCAGCCATCCGGGGCACCTGCGCAACAAGGCGCCTGCCGCGGGTGGCGGGGGGGGGTCGGAGCCACCGCGGCTACGACCACGGCTACGACAGCGGCAAATCGGACGACGACGAGAAATGAATGCAGCATGGCGCCAACATCGCAGAGCGGATTTCTTTGGTAAAACGATAGGATGGGCCCGGAGGGTCCTGGAGAGTTTCGCTCCATATTTCGAAGTGAATGTCGTGCGGATTTTTTGGCCAGGAGTGAAGACTAACAAACAATTCTCGTGAAGTTAACTTCGTTTTTCGCTCGCCGTTTCGGGCAACAATCCACGCAGAAACCCGGTGCAGAAGGTCTGCAAGGCCGGTGCGATGAAATGTATGGCATGCGGGAGAAGAAGTAGGAACAGCTTGGAAAACAGCCCTCCAGGTCAGGCGCATCGCGGATGGGGTTGGAGCGTTTCCTCTCACGTTTGCGGTGCGAGTACGCGAAGTTCGGCGATTTGTGAAGCTGGCCTTGTCCACGGTGTGATAATATCGAAGTCGCGATGTCGCTGTTCCCCTCGCGATTCGGCGGTCCCCCTGTACAAGATCAGAAGGCATCGGAGTCGAGAGTGCGGTGCTCCCTCGTTCACTGGAGGAAGTTGGGGGAGGAGGGAGGAGGAGTGGGATCCATGGTGCTTGTGCGGCTCCAGGAGGCCCTCAGGGACTCTAAAGGATTCGGCCGTTTCGCTTCATGCTCCATCCGTCCTCCATACCCACCAACCTACAGGATCCATGTCGATGCGATCGATCCGATTCGATATTCATTTCGGCCGGCCCGATCCGATTTGACGCCGACGTTGTTACGAAGCGATGCGATCCGATGCTTGCATGGCGTCGCTGCGCATCCTGGCGCGACCGATTCGATGGATCCCGACTCCGTGACGATGCAGCCTGATTCGATGCATGTTCCGATCCGATTCGATGCATCGATTCGATGACCGCTCCTGCCATCCCTCTCTGCCCCCCCACCTGTCTTCTCCGCGTCCCCTCCGCACCCCGTTGCGTCTCCCTCTCCTATGCATCCCGGGCTCGCACCTCCACGTCCTCTCTCTCCCTCCATTCTTGACCGTCCCCTCCTGCGAGCTGCCTGCGATGTCGCTATAGCACCGTCGCGTGGTATTGATTGCCGTGGGGGATGCAATGACGACTGCTCAGAGGATGGCAGCAGTGACGATGCTGATGTTGATGATGATTATGGCAAGGGTTTTGCCCATAACTGTGACGACGGTGATTGGGGAGGAGGAGGAGGAGGAGGAGGAGGAGGAGGAGGAGGAGGAGGAGGAGGAGGAGGAGGAATCAGAGAACGAGGGGCGGGGGAGAGGGAGGGGGATGGCGGGAGGAGGAGGGGCAGGAGGATGCATAGGGAGGTGGACGGTGATAGGATGGGGATGGCGGAGGAGTATGGGGGAGGGGAAAGAAGAGGCGGACGGGGAGGAAGGATCAAGGTGGACAAGAGGGATGCAGATGGGGGGCATCAGGAGGAAGAGGTGGAGCACAGCAAGTTCAGGATGAGTTCGAGGAGGATGGTCCGGATGAGGAGCAGGTGGAGGATCATGAGGAGGTGGAGCAGGAGGATGAAGATGAGAGTGGAGCAGTATGGTATTGATCGGCGGCAACAGGAGGCCGGGGATAATATTGAGTTGGACGGTTATCCATGAGGGCGAGGGAGGGTTGGAAGTAGGGGACGAGCGGCTCGAGGATGGAGGTGTGGTGGGGATGAGTCGTCATGGGGGGCCAGGATGAGGACGGCAAGCTGTGGATGACGAGGAGGAGGTGGGCGGACATTAATACGTGAGAATGGCGGATGGGGGATGGAGTTGGGAGGAGTGGATGGAGGCGGGATGACGGGTCGAAGGAAGAGGGTGACGGTGAATGTAGGATTGATCCAGATGGAGGAGGGATGGAGAAGAAGGATGGATGGAAGGTTGGAGGAGGGAGACGGGAGGACGGAGAAGAGGAGGGAAGGGAAGATGGATGAGCAGGAGCAGAATAAGGTCGCTTTCGATTCCCGGGGTTGGGGCCAGGTTTTTCTTCGCTCCCGTTCCCGTCTTTGTCCTCTCTTGTTCCCGCCCTCCGACGAGCGGGCCCCCTCGCCAGTGCGAGCAGATATCCAAGTGTATAACCTCCAATGCGCGCGTGTCCGCGCGGTCCCGCCCGCGGCCAGGTGCATCCGGTCCACCCGCGCCCAGGAGGCTTCAAGCTCTTCTTCCAGGACGCCATTTTTTTGTTGTGCTCGGGCCTGGTGCGTGTCCTGGCCGGCTTGTGCTTCTCTGTCGTCGGACCTCTGTTGTGCGGGGGGAGGCCTCAGCGAGCTCTCTTGTCCGCCTCCATGCCCATGCAGTGGAGGCCCATGCCAAGAAGCTCCCTGCTTGCCTCCAGGGTGCCCTGGGTTTCTTGGTTTTCGATGGTTTTGCTGTGGAAGGCGTGACGTTCCCACACCAAAAATCTATGCACGTCCTGGGGTCTCAGGGGTGGGTTTCTTCTGGAACGTTTCTTGTGGACTGGCCTCCACTGTAGCTCTCACCGCACCAGCGTCGCTGATCGCACCCCCTTTGTCTATGGTTTCCACATGTGGTCCAGACTAGCTCGTCCTGCAGGCCTGCCATCCAGGTTCCATGTTTTCGTGTTCTCGCCTTGCTGCATGTGTCGGATGACTCGCATTTTTTCAGCGAAGATTCATTGGACGTGGTGTGCAGTTTCGAGCTATGTAATTTTGTGCAGTGGCAGCATCTCCGTTTGAGTGTGCCAGTTTTCCACCGTGTACGTGTGTTCGTTGAGATCTCTTGGCTACCGAAGCGAAGTAAGCGTGGAGATGCGTGAACCTTGTGTCGTGTCTCGCTGAAGCAGGCATGGTGAAAATATGGCTTCAGTCGGTGGCGCTGTTCGATTGGTGCTTGCTGTCATTCTTTATTGTCATCTGGTTCGTGGCCTACTCGTTCTTGCTGAAGTGGAAGAACAGGAGTGGCATCTGAGCCTCGGCTCCTTGGATCATGAAACGTCGGTCGGATAATGTTAAGTCGGGCCTGTCCCTCTACAGGAGGAATATTCAAGAATATCCAAGCAATAGCCTGGGGATGATTTTCCGATTCATTTTTGATTATGTCTGTTTGCCGATTGTTCGGTTATTCAAACCCGCTTGCAGGAGGGCATGCAGCGCAGCGAGGCCCTTTGGAGCCCGAGCGTCTGACTGTCTGGTGGTGCAAGAGATCACTGCCGCGGAAGGTGGGGCAGGGCCGCGAGCGCAGGGTTGCATGGGAATCTTTACTCAGAAGGCGAGGAGGAGGAGGAGGAGGAGGAGGAGGAGGAGGAGGAGGAGGAGGAGGAGGAGGAGGGGGAGGAGGGCGGCTTCTCGAGGGAGCATGGAGGCCGCGAGGGCGCCTGCGTGGGGTGGAGGCTTCTCGCGAGGCCGCCACGGGCAGAAGGAGATGCGCGCAGAGACGAGACAGGAACACCGAACACCCAAAGAAACGAATGGCATGGACCTTCACTTTCGACAGTCTGCGCGGATTACTTGGATCGGCGCTGGGACCCCCTGGCGGCGCCTCCTGCGCCGCCCCGGGCGCGCCCCGAGCGCCGGGGAGGGGGGTCCTGCGCGGATCCAAGAAATGCTGTCGCTAGTTCGGCCTCCTCCGCCCTCGCTCCAATGTCATGATCTCGACTGCGTAACTACACTCTGAGTGTTTGGCCTTGGATGCAAATCCTGGAAGGTCAAACTCAGCTTCGGTGCTTGTAAATCCGTGGTCGCAAACCATTTTCATCCAGCATAGTCCCGCATGTTTCCTCGTTATCCAGGTTCATCGGGCTTGATCTGTCATACTCCATGGCTCTACACGGGCTGATCCGATCTACTGTACTCTAAAGTGCTTGCGACGACCTCCCAGAAGCTGCCTCCCAACAGCGTTGTTGCCTCGTGTGTGCAATTACTCTCACGAGCGCCAGCGTATCCATAATCACGCGCTCGAGGGCGGGATTCCTGGGCGCGAGTCAGTGGACATGCGATCGCACCAAGCCGCATGGATACAGTGCCGTTTTTAATACATGCTCCGCGTGCGGATCATGTATTAGAAATGCGGGGACTCAGTATTAAAAACAACGATCAGTTCATACATACATTTTCTCAAAATCAATCATGTATCTAAAATCCCATATGTTAAAAAAAATCCTGCGAATCAAAAACTGCCCTGTACGTTGCGCGCGGGACGCTCGCGCGAAATGGCGCCCCAGATCCACGGGGTCGCTTTTCCTGGGTGCCCGGCCCGCGAGGCCGCGGACGTGCAAAAAAAAGGGATATAGCACATGAAGACACTGTCTTGGCATCGCTCGGACGTGTGCACTTTTTTCTCGGCGGGGACCATCGAGGAGCATCCTTGATCATTTCGCCAAAAAAATACGCGCGAGATCGAAAAATGCACGGGGAGTGGACGTCCGAGCGATGGCGAGTTGTTTGGGCAGGAGCTCCGCGCTGGTTTCTGGGATCCACGCCGGCCTTCCTCCCCCCCCCTGGTGCGCGGAGTGCGCCAGGCGCCGCGTCAGGAGTGCCGCCAGGGGGGGGGGCCCAGCGCAGACACCAGGCACTCCGCGCGGAGCTCCTATCACGTTTATGCTGATGCAGCTCTTCTCTCGTGCAGCTTCCGACCACGAGGCTCTCCAAGGAGGGCGGCGAGCACCCAGAGATCCGAGGTCTTGATCTGTTACATTCGGGGTCCCTGGAAGTCTCGACCTCCTCCAGGGGACTGGCTCTTACTCGTGAACCATTTGTTGACGGTCCCAGGGCCCAGTCAGGACCCCTAGAGGCCGAAAGCGGCCAGCAGTTGCTCGTCCTTGAATCTGTCTTTACGACGCGAGCACGGGGCATCTCTTTTCGGGGAGCAAGCAAGGACGTAGGCATCAACACTCGGAGGTCCGCGCGGATTCCTCGGGTCGGCGCTGGGACCCCCCGCGGAGGCGCCGTCGGGGGGGCCCCAGCGCCTATCCGCGGAGTTGGCGCGGAGACCACAGTGGGGATGTCCGGTGCCGCTGCGGGTTCCCCCCCCCTGCTTCCCGACCGCGCGGTGCATTCTCACCTCCGCCCTTGGGGAGAGTGTTTGGGGGGGTCTTGCCGCCACGGCCAGAGATCCGCGCTTCCACGCGGAGCCGGCCGTGGCGACGATCGAAGAACGGGTCGGGATGGACCCGGGATTCGTTCTGCGAGCCTTCGAAGCACGGGTCAGGAAGAGGCCCTGGGAAGAGGCCCTGGGAGCGATTTTGGGCGGATGTGGGCTCGTTGTTTCCAGGGGCTCTCCTTCGTCTCTGTCTCCTGCCCCTTTTAAGAAAAGGGCTCGGGATGTTCGATTGCGCATGTCGCGTACATCCGAGGGCAAGCAATTCTGGGCGTCTGTTCAGCAGCGCCGCTCTGTGAATGTACTGAAGAGTTTCGCTTGTAGCGGTGGTGGCTGTGAGGGTGGTTATGATGCATTCTATGTGTGTGTGTCTGTCTCTGGCCCCTGGGTTCTACGCCTCGTTGCGCGGCGCCAGGGGCGCCTGATTGATTCAGGCAAATTCGCCAGGGTGCGTGCTAGGGCTCGCTCCTCCCCCCCTTTCCTCCTTCCCTTTCCCCTCCTCGCCACAGGGCTTCTTCGCGCTCGTAAAAAAACGCCTCTCTGGCCCCAGGGGGAGAAAGGGACGAATCGCTCAAGAGCGCTCCAGAACGCTTTCAGAGAGCTCCGGACCGCCCTGGGGCGGCCGCGGCTCCCGAGGCATCCTGCAGAACCGCCAGGTCCCAGAGATCTCAAGCTTTCACTATCCGATCTTGTCCAGTGGGAGGGGGGGGCCAGGTTCCATGTGTAATTTGTTCTGAGAGTTCGAAAGAAAATGAGGGCTCCTACATGTCGTTGAGGGTTCAAGGGACTGTCCTGTCCCCGAGGCGCAATCTGTGTGAGGGTTGTGCCAAAATTGGTTGGTTCGTCGGTCGGTCGGTCGGTAGGTCGGTTGGTTGGATGGGTGGAGGGTAGGTCGGTTGGTTGGTGGGCTGGCTGATGGGTTGGTGGGTTGGTTGATTGGTTGCTCTGTTGGATGGTTGGTTGATTGCTTGGTTGGTTGGTCGGTTGCCTGGTGGGTTGGTTGGTTTGGAAGATGGTTGGTCCGTTGGTTGGTTGGTTTGCTGGTTTGTTGATTCCTTGGTTGGTTAGCTGACTCGTTGGTTGGTTGGATGGTTGGCTGTTGGGCCAGCGTGACAGTTGGCCGATGGGCCGATTGGCTGGTTGGTAAGATTGGTTGGTTGCCCGGTCGGTTGGGTGGTTGGTTGGTCGGTCGGTCGGTCGTTTTGTTGGTCAGTTGGTTCGTCGGTCGGTTGGTTGGTTGGTTGATTGGTTCGGTTGGTTGGTTGGTTGGCCAAGGTAATTCGTCGGTGCGCGCGAGGTTGGCCGAATTCACGGGCTGGGGAGTTGAAGCGGTGTGGGGTCGGAGTGTCGAGGAGGCCGTGACGGGCTGACGCTCGAAAGTTTGAGCGTTCGGGGTTTGACATTCCCTCCGGGTTGCTCAGGGCTTTTTGGGATGCGCCCGGCAGTGCGACGGCGAGGATGAAGTCGACAGTGATGACAATACAGATGATGGTGATGATGATGATGATGATGATGGTGATGATGATGATGATGATGATGATGATGATGTTGATGCTGGTGCTGATGCTGATGATGATGATGATGATGATGATGATGAGCGGTTATGATGATGATTGTGATGATGACCATGGTCTTTATTGAAGGAAGCATGTCAGATGGTGACGTTTTTGGGTTGAATGGCAATGATATTGAAGATGAGGAGGATGATGTTGTTGCTGTTGTTGGTGATAATATTGATGCAATGCGATGCAATGCCTCCGCCCTTGTCCCTCCTCCCGCTCTTCCTATGCTGGAGAAAATGTATGACCCCCCGCTGCCCTGGCCTCCCACCATCCCATCAGGGCCAGATGTTTGTTCGGAACGCTGGGGCCCCGAGACGGCGTCGATCGGCTAATTTTTGCACACCCCTTACACGAACCGTGCCTCCAGGGTTAGAAACCCTTTCCCTGACCCTGGGAGAAATCGAGCCGTTTTGAAAAACGTTCCTGGGCCCTCCATAGCAGTCTCGTTTTTATCCCCCACCCACGGAGGGGGGGGAGCGAACCTGACCCGGACAGGCGTGCCTGTCTGTCGTGGATCCTGTATCGGCCTTGCTCGGCACACCCGTACGGACCAGGTTTTTATTTGGGGTCCACATGCGAACCCTACCCCTACCCCCCACTATTTTTGAGTGGAAGGTTGGGGTTCACTTCGCTCGGGAGCTTCCGAACGAAGTGAACCCCACCCTCCCCCTCAGAAATCGTGGGGGGGAGGGGTAGGGTTCGCATGTCGCCCCCTATTTATCTGCACGGGAGTGCCCTTGGCACCCCGGTCCACGTCTGCGCCCCCCAGTTCCTGACCCGATCTTGCCGGCCAGCCGCTGAAAGTCCAGGCGACCAAAACGGCATCAAGATATCTGCTGGAGCTCCTTGCGGATTTCTTGGATCGGTCCTGGACCTCCCTGTGGGCGCCTCCGGCATCGTCCCTGGTGTTCTCCGCGTGCCAGTGAGCGTATATGTCGCTCGTCGAGATGGGTTGTTGACGTTCCAGCCCGCGTCTAGTCAGGAAGAACTCCTGGGGTGTCACACTCAGCATCGGCGCTGGCACATCCGACGTCGAAGTCAATTACTATCTGGCATAATCCAGCTCACTTCGTCCGCTCAGTCCGTTGTTGTTGCTTGATCCTGCAGTCTGGGCTGATCTGGCCCGATGGCCCCCTTAATCAGGCTTGATGGCCCTCAGTCGTGCTCAGGAAAACCTAAAGTTTTGGCGCTCCGCGCGGATTACTTGGCTCCACCCTTGGCGCGCTCCGCGCGCCGGGGAGGGGGTCAAGCGCAGATCCAAGAAACTGGCGACTTGTTTTCTTTTACTTACTTCAACAGCCGGGGAGACATGTTTCGACCTGGCCAGGCCCCAACCCGCGCGGGCTTTCAAGGCTGAACGCCACCTGTGGCCTCCCATCGGTTGACCTCGAAAGATCCGCGCCATCGGTGAAGCTGCGGTCGCTCACGGCTCTCGCGCAGAGGAGGAGGAGGAGGAGGAGGAGGAGGAGGAGGAGGAGTTGGAAGAGGAGGTGGAGGAGCAGGAGGCAGAGGAGGCGGAGGAGGGCCCTGAGGCAGCACGAGGGAAGGGGATGGGAAGGGGGAAGGGAGTCTCATTGGAGGGAGCAGAGCAGAGAACCGAGGGAGAGAGAGCGTGAGGAGCAGCGGGGAAGGAGGAGGAGCGCAGGAACAGGGGAGTTGAAGGAGAGGAGTGCGTGGGGGAGCTGTGGCTAGATGGGGGGGATGGATCGGAGAGGGAGGAGGGGGAGGACTTGCTCCTGTGCGGCCGAACCGCGAAGGAGGAATTACCACGGGGCCACGCTGGGTGGCTGGCTGGTGATGGCCGTCCTCTTCGGCCTCGTGATCTGGATGCGCCAGGCCCCCGTTTCGCCCAGCCGCGCTTCCGTCGCAGGAGGACAAACCACACTGACAGACACCGTCGGAGTTCCGCGCGGATCTCTTGGATCGTCTCTGGACCCCCCTGGCGGCGCATCTGGCGCCGCCTCTGGAGCGCTGCTCGCGCCTGGGAGGGGGGATCCAGCGACCATCTACAGTGCCTTTTTCCATACATGCTCCGCGTGCGGATCATGACTTAAAAATGCAGGGATTCAGTGTTAAAAACCACGATGAGTTCATGCATACATTCATTCATACATGAATCACGTATTAACAATCCCATATGTTTAAAATCCAATGTGTTAAACACTGCCCTGTAAGAAGTCTGCCCGGACCTCCGCAGGTCGAGGCGTGGAAGCGAGAAGGGGGAGGCCTTCTCGGAAGGCGGCCGAGGGCTTTCGGAAGCCCCCGCGCCTGCTGAGAGGTTGTGTGTGTGTGTGTGTTTTGTGTGTCGTCGGGGAAGCCTTAGAGCACTTCTCAGCGCGCCGGGGGCCTTCCGAGCCTTCTGAGAAGGCCCGCCCCCTCTGGCTGCCTCACCGGGCTCGCCGCCGTGATGCGGAATGTGGTTCCCCGAGCTCCGCCTCCTGGGCCCCCGCGGGGGCCGTCCCGCAGCGAGCCGCTGCGAAGCGCGGGCCCCGGGGGGCGGTGTCGAGAGCCATGGACTCCCCGCCGTTCACTCGGGGGCGGCAAACGAGGGGGGTGATGACTAGGGGGGGGTGGATATCATGGCGCGGGCCATGATATTTCCGCAGATTTCATGGCGCCTCTTCTTATTTTATTACGCCCCTGCCCCCCCCCCTCTTGGCCACCCCCCTCTTGGCCGCTCCCGATTCATCGGGTCGAACGAAATTTGCTGCGCACAGCTGCCCAGAGACCCAACGCATTGAAAAGATCAAGGCGGAGGTTTTTCTCTACCTTCGGCCTCTATAGGGGCCCCAGCCGGGCCCCAGGACCGTCAAAAAACGGCTCAGGATGAAGAACCGGTCCTGGGGAATGAGTGGGGACTTCGAGGGACCGCGCACTGAAGAAATCACGACAGTGGATCTTTGGGTGGTCTCCGCTCCGCCACCGGGCCCATGCCTCGATGCATGGTACATGGGCGCTTCCTGGCGCCAGGAAAACGAGCTTCGCGAGCTCATTGTCTACTCTGCCCTTGGCTATCCTACCCTTTCGTCGCCCTCCCCGAGCTGACGGTGCTGAAGCTCGAATGGCCAAGAGATGCGCAGGGGACGCCAGGCGTTTCTCGCATTGTGGACCTCGCCTTTGCGCCGGTCTCAAGTAGTTATCTGTCGTCGAAGCTTCTGGCAGCTACGAGGGTCGTGTTCAAAGACCGCGCACATTCGTAGAGGAACCAATGAGGTACAAGATGAACCGCGGGTGGCTTCCAAACTGTGTTCTCGCCTTAGCGCCGCGCGCGTTCGCTTTAACAGCTCCCAGAAAGTATAAGGATGGTGGGCTGTCAATTTTTGGAGAAGGCTTCCGCGACCATCTTCACATTGGGCGATCAACCGTTTTTAGTGTGCAACCGAAACACGTCACCACAGATGGTGCTGGTCAATTCTTTGAACATGATGATCCTACTCCGCAGCTCTCTTCCCAAGATGTAAATCGGAAGGCGATTCCTGTTTCAAGGCTCAAGCGGGAAAGTTTTCGACAGTTGTTTGAAAGTGCTTAAGGTCCGGGGTGGTTTCCATCGACTTCACCTCGTCGAGCTCGTTCTGTGTGTGTTTGTGTTTGTACTGGGATCGTCCCGAACGGCCGCCAGAGGCCAGAATCCTGACCGGAACGTCGGGCGACGATGGTCCCTGGGGGGGAGTAGGCTCAGTGGGGGATGCATGCACCCACAATCGCCCGTGGATCACCGATGGGGGCCCGCTGGCCCCACCCCCGCCCAGGGAAGCTGGAGTTCGCTATCGGGGCTCCTCGCCGATCTCTCGGCGACGCATCGCCGATTCAAGCTCGATGCCCCCCCCCCCACCCCTCCTCCCGCCCCCGCCTCCGCTCCATCCTCCTGCCATTCAGCAGACGGACGGCCGAACGAGCACGCGGGCGAGCGCGAGCGTGCTCCCCCGTGCACCCGGAACTCTTAGCGCATGGGAGACATCAGGGCGGAGGCTTTTTGTGGTTCTCTTTGAGGCTTCTCGGAGGGCCACCCTCGCTGAAGACCCTGGGCACGAGACCCTCAGGGAAGTCGACGATTGGAAGACATCACGACGTCGACGCGCTGGGCCTTGCTCCCGTCAGCAGGGGAAAAACACACACACATACACACACACACACTTACCAACACGAAGCATCGCCGATTCCCAGGAAAAGTATGGGAAGCCATTGGGAGCTTGGGGGGGAAGGCGGACATCAATAACACCTGCGAACGTACTGAACTAGTTGTGGGGAGTGGGGGGGAGGACGAACAGCAAGGACATGTGCGAACAAAAGGGGGGGGGCATCCTGGGAGTGGTGCGTATCTCTCTGCGTGCCCCTGGGGCCCTTGCGACAGTACCGAACGAGTTATGGGGAGTGGGGGGGGGCAGACGAACAGCGAGGACATGTGCGAACAGAAGGGGAGGGGCATCCTGGGAGTGGTGTGTATCTCTCTGTGTGCCCCTGGGGCCCTTGCGACAGTACCGAACGAGTTATGGGGAGTTGGGGGGGGCAGACGAACAACGAGGACATAGATGCGAGCATAAAGGGGAGGGGCATCCTGGGAGTGGGACGTATATCTCTCTGTGTGCCCCTGGGGCCCTTGCGACAGTACCGAACTGGTTATGGGGAGTGGGGGGGCAGACGAACCGCGAGGACATAGGTGCGAGCATGAGGGGAGGGGCATCCTGGGAGTGGGGCGTACCCCTCTCTGTGTGCCCCCCTCTCTGTGGCCCCCCCTCGTGTCGCGGTCGCCCTCCTCGTGCGCGGGCGCCGCCCCCCCCCCCCCCGCGGCGCCCTCCGCACGCGCGCCCTCCGCAGGGCGGGCGCGCGGCGCCTGCCGGGGGGGGGGGGAGGCAGCGTCAGGGCGGGGGGGGGGCTCTGCGTGGAGTGAGTCGGGCGTGTCCCCCTGCAGGGGGATCCTCGACGAAGCATAAAAGAGTACCCCAAACATAAAATACAAAAATAGTTCAACAATAGTCTGGGAACTGTTTTTTTATGTTTTGACCTTTTTGAGTTTTTGGGGGCCCCTACAGGGGGATCCTCGACGAAGCATAAAAGAGTACCCCCAAAACAGTCAAAACATATTCTCAATATCGTCAGGGGGCTAGTTTGTTGGGGTATTTTTTGACCTTGCTTTTTGGGTATTTTTTAGTTCTCGTCGAAAA